CAGCTTGGTACCCCTCAGATACAACGTTATTTGAGCTGTATCTAGGCGAAACTCGGCTCACTCATTTACTGTCAGAACTTGAATGCAACAAGGAATTTCTTTGTAGCTACATCCCACTCCCTTCTTCCCTGTGGAGAGTCTTCTCAGTCCTTAAGGGACTGCTATGCAAGTTCATTAAAAGTCCTATTTCAGCATTTCCTTCATAGTAGAGGCCTCTTCCAGCCAGCTCTTGGGATCCTGCCAACAGACATATCAGACGTATCACTAGTACTTAAATCCTTCCGCTAAAAAATGCTTCCCTAAAGAGCTTATACCCCAGTTCTGGATGCCTAAGAGAGCTGATCATCACAACTAACCAGCTTCAACAAGAGCTTAAGAGAGGTTCTTCTCCACTCTCATGGGCTTAATGGTGCACTACAGAGCCTTTTCTCCCCTTAGTCTGGCCTCCACTTAGGAAGGAGCAGCTTCAGCACAGTTCCAGTCAGGAAATAAATGTCAGGTGCTACAAAAGAAAGAGAGAACCAGCTGCCTTGGATGATGCATTCAGGGGGATCCAAAAGAACACGACACTTACCAGGCACTTCTGAAATGCCCAGCATCTCTCCATGTTTAAGCATCGGGCTCTGTTGCACAAAGATCTCACTGGCAAATTTCTTAAACTTGGGGCAAGAACTGCATTTGCTTCTGTGCCCCCAGAGCACCCAGCAAAACAGAGTTTTTAACTCCTGTCCATATGAATTGGTTATTATGGCTGATATCAAGAATAACTCAGTGGAAACGCTCCTGCTAGATTAAGATCATCTCTGAAAACCACAGCCTTGCAGCTTATGTGGTCTTTATTTATCATCTCCTTGTCAAAATGAACATTTCTAACACATAAATACACCAGGCATGGGAGAAAGACAAGCATATTGTAAGCACTTGACAAGGGATCTAAATGGCCTTCTTGTTTTTGGAGAACAGAAACCATCACGTGGTTGTCTCTGCAGACAAAATGTCCTAAAAGATTTCCCAAGGCAGCAAGCTGGGTACGCTACCGAAAGCAGCACTTTGGGACACTGCACATGCACTTGCGGTCTACAAGAAGTATTGTGCTTGGGGATCTGAGCTGATGAACAGGGAGCAACTTCTGCAAGGACTGTCAAGACAGGGACATGCCAAAGGCCAACCCAGGCTTCAGCGTACAACCTTTTCACCCACACGCAAAGAGAGGTCCCAGCTGAGCCATAAATCTTTAGCCTGCTTTTTACATCCCGGGTCGCTCCAGCGCCCTTTGTTTTCAGTGCTTTCTCTTCCGTTTCTCAAAGAGGCGGTGTATTACCCTGGGAAATCTTGTGGCTTTCCTCTCATTTCCATACTTAACATTTTCAGTTGTTTCCAAGTCTGTCCCAACATGGTAGGTACCCATTCTCACATGCTGAAACACTGTTTGGATTATTTAAAAACAAACAAACAAACAAACAAAGCCCATAAACCAACAACTACCAAACCCCGCAAACACTACCGTGATGACAACAATTCAGAATACAACACAAGGGTCAAGGAAACACATTCCTTTCCTCTGGCAGGATGCAGTAATGACTCCCTTTCTGATGGTTCAGAAATGGAGCCAGTACACTTTATTGGACTTTGCTACCACACACCAAGAATGAGTGGTCAGTAAGGTGGCAGCCAACAGAGAAAACAGCTTTTTAATCCACCAGAAACACCAGCAGCTCCCCTCCCAGTAGCAAATGAAAGCCCCACGGAAATCCCTCTGCCGCTGACCTTATCCTCCCAGCTGAGCTCCAGGCTGGAGACACTACTCTCCAAAAGCAACAACCTGCTTAAATGGCAAGTGGCCGGGAACACCTCAGGGTCAGGAACAGCTCCCATACAACTTGCTGACCTGTCCAGGAAACGAACTGTGCTCTTGTGAAGAGCATGATTAAGCACCCCGTGCTTAGCACTTACTGCCTGCTCCTGCAAGGCTCCAGTGCAGCCCCCAGCAGTCAGAAAGCTTCAATCCCCGCTAGACCATCCCTTTTCCAGCACTGGGCAACAACAGCCAGGCTCCTTGGAGACTCATAAAATCAAATCCTCTGAAAGTGTCCCAAATACACCTTGCATGGTTTTACCCTACAGTTTCCATTTGACACCCTGGGACCACAGCAGCAGACAGCTGTATATTCTTCCCTGTTCCCTGCCCAACCACCGTTCCCCTCCACCAACTCCATATCTAACCCATTAGCACGCATCATCCCTGGGTACCACAGCGGGAAGGCAAGCTGGCATTTCCTTCCCCAGGACAGGTGAATATTCTCATGGATGCCAAACAGGAGTCAGAAATGCCACCCTGTTAAGCTACAGGCTGTACCCAAGTGCAGACATTTCCTCCTGCTGAGTAAAGAGAAGTAAAGTAAAGAGAAAAGCAGGCTATCCAGAGCAGAGAGAGAGAGAAATGCAACGCTACGATCACAGAGGGATTCAGGGCTTTGCTGAAATTGAGGACTCTGCTGCTTGCTCCAGTAGGGCCCCGGTTTCCCCCAAAGAATTTGCGTCTCCTCGTCTTTTTTGTCGCCGGAGACCAGGCAGGGCTGAGCTCACCCAGAGGCCCCATGCTGGGTGGCTGGGCTGCCTCCGCTCCTCCGCCCCGTCGCTCCCGAACCGCTTGGGTCGGCTTTTCAGCAGCTCCCCACGTCCCCTCGGCTCTTCTCCCACCCGCCCGCGGTCGAGAGCTGCTCCGGCAGCCGACCCGGCCCACCCGCACCCGGCGGGGACGGAGGGAACAGGAGCCCTCCCCGTCCCGGCGGGAAAGCAGAGGGGGGGGACGGGCGAGCGGCGGAGCCCTCAGCGGCCGGGAGAGTGGGGGGGTTCGGCTCACGTCCCCCGGTTTCCGTCTCTGCAGCCGAACGCAGTACCGGAGGGAAGAAAAGCCAATTCGGTGGCTGAAGGGAAAAAGGAATTAAGAGATTTTTTGGAGCGGCACCGATCCCCCGCGCCCCGACCGCCGCCACGGGAGACGAGCGGTCTGCAGGCGGCGGCAGGCTGCCTCCTGGCACCTCTGCCCGCTCTCCCCCGGTAACGCCGCGCCGCTGCC